GCACACCGCACCTCTAAGATCATATTAAAGTTGCATATTTAATGAAACTTTGATTATAATATAATTAATATATATTAGTATATACTATCAATTCCTAAAAAGCTTAGCTACAGTAACTTTTCCTCTCTTTCTTATTTCCACACGAAACTCTTCTCCTTTCTTATTTTGCCACTGCAATTACGGGTTTTGCTGTTCCTTATCTTTTTTCCCGCACTTGGAGCTTCTACTTTCTTTCGTGTTTATCTTCTTCTCCTTGGCGTCGGTTGCCGCCTTTCTCCGCCAATAACGTTCGTTTCTTTTTGTTTATATTCTTATTTCCTTATTTCCGTTCTAATTTTCTTTTCGCCTCTCTCCTTCCGCTACTTGCTGTCTCTGTTCTTCGTTAGGTATGTGTGGTATTTTTCATCTTATGCACTCTCATGGTTGTTGTTTTAAGTTGCAAGCGACGTTCCTCTAGGCGTTTAACTGCAATTATTTCTACTCAGATACTATCTTCGCCTGTTTGTAATGATTCTTTTCTTTTGCCTTCTTATGATGATGTTGGTGATTGTACTTTCATTTGTAAGTCATGTTCAGCTTTTTTTTGGTTTGAGGAAAGGGTTAAATATTTATCAGTTCCAGATTCTCCTGCTTATACACGTTGTTGTAGGTCTGGGTCTGTGGTTTTGCCATATCCACTTCGACCTCCTGATTTGTTATTGGCTTTGTATGATTTTCCCCCTTTTATGAAAAACATTAGGGGTTATAATAATATGTTTAGTATGACATCTTTTGGGGGTAAGGTCGATGAGGCTATTAATAATACTGCTGGTCCTTATGTCTTCAAAGTCTCAGGTCAGATTTGCCATTGGATAGGTGCTTTTGGTGTGGTTGAGGAAAAGGGTCCTAAGTTTTTACAATTATATGTAGTTGATATAGAACATGAATTGCAGAATAGGCTGTCTGCCCTTCAAAAAAACGAAAATCACAGTTTGGATCCTAAAAATTTTCAGACTTTTATGGATCTTTTTACAGTCCATAATGAATATGTTAGAACTTTTAAAACTGCTAGAGATATCGCTGCTGAGAGGAATTTGGTAGACTATGCAGTTTGTCTATTTAATGATGTTCCTGATCGTTTATATGGTCCTCCGGTTCCGGGTACATTGGGTTGTATTGTTGTTGGTGAGGACACAGTTGGTAGTACATATGACATAGTTGTACATTCTAGAAAAGGACCTCCATGTAGGATTAGTAAACTACATCCTACGTATATGCCCTTACAATATCCTATCCTGTTTCCGTATGGTGAAACAGGTTAGTGTCCACGTTTAAAGCTTTACACTGACACAAGTAGTAAAGTTAGGAATATGACTGTTAACATGTACTACAGTTATCAGATACACGCAATGCATGGTATATATTCTCTGTTGTTGAATTCATGTAGATTGTTTCAGCAGTACTTAGTTGATGCTTATGGCTATATTGAATTGTCACGTCTTGAGTTTTATGAACAAAATCAAGGCCAACTAAGATCGGCGTTTGTTAGTGGTATTTATGATGCAATATCACATGGTGATACTGAAAGCCGATCTATTGGCAAGCGTGTACTTCTGCCTCCGTCTTTTGTTGGCGGTCCACGATACATGTACAGCCACTACCAGGATGCTCTTTCTATTTGTCGGGAGTATGGGAATCCACAGTATTTTATAACCTTCACATGCAATGTTGGGTGGCCAGAAATTACACGTTACATGAATTCACATCACCAATCTGATGTTAGTAGTAGGGCTGACATAATTTCACGTGTTTTCAGTATGAAAGTTCATGCTTTTATTACGTACCTCAAATCTGATAAAACTTTTGGACCCGTTTCAACATGTAAGTATAAATAAGCTTTGTTGATTCATACGTTTGTATTTTTATTGCTACTAATTTACATATTTCTTATATATTTTTCCATGCAGACTTATATACCATTGAATTTCAAAAAAGAGGTCTCCCTCATTGTCATGTGCTGATATGGGTTGAAGACTCTCATAAGATTAAGGACCCTTCAACAATCGATAACTATATTACTGCTGAATTACCAGATCTAATTTCTGAGGCTACGTTGTATGGTATTGTTACAAGGTATCTACTACATGGACCATGTGGTTTGCTAAATAGCAAAGCACCTTGTATGAAGGATGGTAATTGTAAGAAGAAATTCCCAAAGTCATTTCTTTCTGCTACAGTATTTGATAAGGATGGTTATGCACACTATAAAAGAAATTCAGTTTTCGTTCATAAATTACCGAATGGTATTGAAATAGATAATAGATACATAGTGTCGTATAACAAAAGGTTGTGCTGTCGTTTCAATGCACATATCAATATGGAGTATTGCGGTTGGAATATGATGATCAAGTATCTATTCAAGTATGTGTCAAAGGGAATGGAACGTGTTAGATTTGTAATTAATAAAGATGTTCAATGTTGTCAGCCTTCCACCTCTGCAGAAGGTATGGTTGTTAATGAGATAAAAAATTACATTGATGGTCATTTTCTATGTCCTCATGAGGCTGCGTGGCGTATACTTGATTATCCTATTCACGAGCGCGATCCTCCTGTTGTGATCTTGCCTGTGCATTTGCCAAATATACAGTCGTTTTTTTTAAAGAAAATACCCGTCTTAAACAGGTTGTTAAGGATCCGAGCTTTGGTAGTAGTTTGCTGTTAGGTTGGTTTGAAAAAAATAGGTGGGATGCATCTGGTCATAATCTTACATATGCCTCGTATCCCACTAAATATTGGTGGGATAAAAGATCAAAAAGTTGGAAAAAAAGAAAACGTTCAAATTCACATGCGATTTGTTCATCCAACTGCTGGAGAATTATTTTTCCTAAGGATATTACTTTGTCATCAAAAGGGTTGCAAATCTTATGAAGAGTTGCGCACTGTTTCACATATAATGTATTCTGATTTTCGTAGTGCGTTTGATGCATTAGGTCTAATAGGAGATGATAAAGAATGGATGGATGCTTTTATCCAGGCTTCTGAATGGGCAACTTCAGCTCAGCTACGTTCTCTGTTTTGTTATCTTGTACTTCTCTGTGATGTTAGTGATCCCATGTTTTTGTGGCACATTGCGTGGAAGAAAATGAGTGATGATTTGGTGTATAGCATTAGACAGTCTAATCCCACTGTTGACATAAATATAGATGATTTTCATGCACAACAGTTGGTTTTATTTGAGCTTGATCACCTGCTTAGGTCGTCAACGCCTTCAAGGTCTGTTGTTGATTTTCACTTACCCAGGCTAACAGAGGATACCATAGGTATGTTACAAAATCGTCTTTACGTAGAAGAAACAACATATGATAAAGCTGTGCTCACTCTTACTCATGAACAGATGTTAGTATCTCTGAATCAGGAACAACTTGAAATCCATAATAAAGTACAATATGCAGAAGAGAGAAAGGAACAAGAAAGGAACAAGTCCTTATATTTGTTTATGGCCACGGAGGAACTGGCAAAACTTTCCTGTGGAATGCTCTGCTTGCTTATTTCCGTTCAAGAGGGAAAATAGCACTTGATGTTGCTGCATCAGGAATAGCTTCTCTGCTCCTTCCATCAGGAAGGACTGCTCATTCTAGATTCAATATTACAATTGACTTTTCAGAATCATACGCATGCAATATTAGAAAGCGTACAATGCTTGCTGAGCTACTAAAATGCACTTCTATTATTGTATGGGATGAGGCACCAATGAGTGACAGACGTTGTTTTGAATGTTTGGATCGGTCTTTAAGAGATATCCTTGAATGCGAGGTGAAACCCTTTGGTGGTATGTCAATATTATTAGGAGGGGACTTCCGACAAACGCTGCCCGTATCTCCAAAAAGTACACCGTCCGAAATAATTTCGCTCACCTTGCCAAACTCATACATGTGGCCATATTTTACATTACATAAATTGAATGATAATATGAGGCTTAAAGGATGTTCAGATCCCTCAGAGACAGATTTAACTGTAACACAGTTTGCATCTTGGTTACTAAAAGTTGGAGATGACATCATTGGTGAAATTGATACAATTGATAGGACAAACAGTAGATGGATCGAAATTCCTGCTTCACTTCTTATACCTGCATCAGAAAACGAGTTACATGTTCTTATAGATTTTGTTTATGGAGATGTTCTTAAATTTAAAGTTTCACCTACTGTCTTATCTGGTAGGGCAATTGTCTATTCGAAAAATGAAACTATCCAAAAAATAAATGACATGGTTATGCAGAAAACCCCTGGTACTTCAAAGATATACGAAAGTGCTGATAGTATAGAATTCAATGGAAAGCAAAGTACAGACTTTAACAGTTTCTATCCACTGGAATATCTGAATGCCCTCACCTTCCCTAGCATTCCTGCACACTCACTGTCATTGAAAGTTGACACACCAATTATGTTGATTCGTAATGTGAACCAAAAAGAAGGTTTATGTAATGGAACAAGATTAATGGTTTCACAATTACTGCCAAATGTAATTGAGGCATTAATCATTACTGGTACCTGTGTTGGGAAGAAAGTTTTCCTACCCCGTATTAGATTTATCCATAAAGCTCCTGATATACCATTTACCTTCATAAGAAAGCAATTTCCAATAAAAGTATGTTATGCTATGACGATTAACAAAAGTCAAGGGCAATCTTTGAAAAAAATTGGAATTTATCTACCTGAACCGGTTTTCACACACGGGCAGCTTTACGTTGCATTGTCACGTGCTACAACTCCAAATTCAGTCAAAATAGTTATGCACTCTGATGGCAAAAACAGTAATAACAAAACAAAAAATGTTGTTTTTAAAGAATTTCTACAAAGAATTAATAAATCACAGGTTAAATACATATTTATCTTTTATATTCATGTACAACATTATGTTTATTTTATTTTTTTACCTCAATTCGGTAATACATACAATATAATATTTAATAATGCAGCAGCATATCATAACTATAATTTTATATTATTATGACTCCATATATGTCTCAAACAATAACAACAATCTCGGAGATACACTATGGATGTCCGGGAACAGCGATACAGGTTTCTGAATGCGTCTCAGATAGTGTCCTTTTTATATTATTCAATACGAACTACATACTTTACAACAAAACTACTGTGTTTTTGATTTTTTTAGGTTCGAATATTACGCATGTGGACCCCACAAATAAGGAGTCAGGAAACATGGTTCTTAGCTGTTGACAAGAATGTAAGTTATTAAATTCCATTGTAGTTTTTGTTTTTCTTTTTTTGGATATTTTCTGTGTTTTAGTTCATTCTTTGTGGTTAACTTATAAGGGTGATGCAATTCAAATACTCGGACAACGAAAGGATCAAGGATTTGTTCAGTCTGTCCTTATTCCTAATAGATGCTATACAATTGAAAAATATGGATGTGGGATCCCAGACCGCTATAAAAAATGGATGGAAAAAGACTTTTACATTGCTGTTGGGACAACATCCTCAATTACAACAATTCCAGACACACACGTCATACCTACATACTGGTTTAACTTTATTTCCAAAAAAAGATATTCCAGATTATGTGGATCGACATGCAGGTTCTCATATCTATATGCATCACACATATTACACACCTTAAACACAAATGATGTTTATGTTCACTTTAACAGGTTTTAACTTATGCATACTAAAATAATGTTTTCTACCTGTAGACTTTGTTGGTGTGTTTAACAAACTTATTAAGTGTACAAAGAGAGATACAGAACCGTATCTACTGCTGATTCTGAAAAACAATTCGTAAGCATTTCTTTCTCCTGCTATTATTCTTATACAATATTAATATATATCAAACCTATAAACATTAGTGGTGATGACATTGCAATAAGTTTGTGGAAAGAATGTACCAACATACTTTCAAAATTCGATCGTGTTTCTCTTGAAAATGCTCCTACTCCTGCTGTTGTTGCTATAAGCAGTGTAAAAATCTCGAACTATGCAGGTAAATCCATGTTATTTTCTTTTCAAAGTCATAAATATACTTAAATAAAATTTCCATTTACATTATTTACAAGTCTTGATTAACAAATGACATAAAGGGTCATTGAGACTTGGCACAAGCAGCGCAAGTCACTTGTACATCAACCCAACAATTCCAGAAACAACAATACTTATAGACAGGTATTTTAATACATACAAATACAACAGAAATAAATGTACTCTGATTATCATTGCTTTATCATGCTACAGTTATGGAACTTTTCAACAGTCACCAGTCAACTTTGATCCCCCAACATTGTTATCAGATATATTACAAAAAACTTATTCAGATCTTTCGGTGTGTCATATATGTACATACATATTAAACAAAAAAATTTACTATATCTCCGTTTTTCCTACAAATAGTAATAAATTTTTTCATTGTACAGGACAAAACTTTCACTGCAAAGGCATCCATAAGTGAATATATTTATTCAGATTGTTGGTACCAGGTTCAATGTCCAAACTGCAAGATCGCAACTTTTTAACAAGGGGAAAATTGGTTCTGCCCTTCAGATGGCATTCTCAGTTCTCCAACTACCACGTAAGCATAGATATCTACAAAATTTTATTGACCTTTTTTTTTCAGTTTCCTTTAAAAAAAACTTACTTCAATAATAAAAAAATTGTAGGTTCAAACTTAGTGCAATCATTACAGATGAAAGTCAATCAATGACCATTGTGCTTTCTGATAATGCAACACAAGACTTATTTGGTACAACATCAGATAAGCTTATATCACATGATGACATAAACCACAGGAAAATTTTACCTCTAATTGCCAGTGCTTTACAAGGAATTCCCAAGAAAATGAAATTACGTATGACTAATACATCAACGGACAACAAAATCCGCTTCATTATTACAGATATTGACAAATCCCCCTCTGAAGAAAAAATTCCCATACGGACACCACTAATGCAACAGCCAACATCTTCAAAACACAATGAAAAGGAGTCAACTTCCATCCCCCAACAGGGTAGACTGAATGTTAGAAGATCCCTACCATTCGAAAGCCAAGGTAAAAGGTCATCCATTAAATATACATATATTACAAAACTTTTAAAACCACATAAACCATGAAAGTTATAAACTAATAAATGCAGATACAGCAACTACAAAACGCAAAACCGCACGGAAGACAGATTAGACAAATTACAGCACGCGTACGATGAAATAGAGACACACTCCTTCTACATGTCTTCTTATATCATTATCAGTTTTGTATTATATGTGTAAATGTACATAGGGCATGTCCTTAGCTTTACTTCTCTGTAGCTTTGGTTCTCCGTGAAAGTTTATAATATCAGTTGTTGTATAAAGAAAATTTTAAATGTAATATCTTACTATAACATAGTCACATATCATTTATCGCTTCTTTATAATACATGTGAAAATACAAAATAACTTTCTATACTTTCATTCTCCATACATAATGATTTAAAATTACATTTCCTTTTATAAATGAAGATAATTTCCTTTTTTTTTTAATAATAGCACTTCAAACGTTTTATATTAACTTTTCCAGTTAATTATAATATAAAATTGAATTTTCTTTTTGTTAAATGATACAAAATTTTACATAAAATTTAAAAATATTAATATTTCAGAGGAAAACTACAACTTAGCACATATCTTAGGAGGTAAATTTTTATTAGCCAACCAATAACATACACATATTAAAACCAATATCCAATAACACACTCATCTGTATTACATTAATTAACTTACTCACGTATACTACTCTTACTACAAACAATACACATGCATATCTATTATCATCTTATCAACTAGACACTACTATAGCTTTCATTAGTAATATAAGATTACAACGCATCTCATCTTACAACTTGCTTTATGGAGGCCCAATAACCAATGCTATCAGAAGGAAATAAATTATAGATTTCTACTATCATCTTATCACCTATACTCTACTATAGCTTTCATTACCTATGTAACATTACAACGCACATCATGTTACATCTTGCTTTATAAAAACCCAATAAGCAATGCTATCAGGAGGAAAACATTACACGTGGACATCTACAAGTATACACTACATCCTAAAAACTACAATATATAATACACACAAATTCTAAGTCTGATAGGTAAATAAAAAACATATCACGTAACCCCATCACAAAAATCAATATGAACACAGCAGATTTCAATAAAAGTTTGGTAGTCGTCATCGACTTCCTAAGAGAAATTGCCGACCTACTTGAGGCAGCTCAGTCGAGGTTACATGAAAGTTTCATCCTTGACGAGAAGGCGCAACTTTACATAGTGAATCACGCTGATGATGTTGACGTGCAAACACTACAAAACACGTTTGAAAAAGCCAAAATCGACGATCAATCGATGGAGGACAACATTTCTTTCATGTTAGGATCAATCCACAAAAGGATCGGCAAGTACAAATGCAAGTTGAAGGATACATCTACCACCTAAATTTTTTTAAGTTTTTGGTTCCTAAGTAGTAACGCCGTTTGTCATATACTCCGTCGAACATGTATCCATAAATAAATCAAACGTTCAATGTAAAAATAATAGTATATCGACAGATGTAATGGCCTCCGTATTTACAAATATGTTAACATTATATATATAACAATATCTGCACCAACAAATTAATAAATACATTTACATAAACTCAAACAAACTAAAGCAATAACTTCCAAATGTGCGTCTCTACTTTGGAAAACGTATTCTGAAAAACCATTTAACTTTACACGCCAAGTAGAACACGTGTCATCTAGATTAAAAAATATTTTAAAAAACAACTATAAATACACTCCTAGACAACAAACAAAAACATACTCATCAAAAAAATCCCACAAAAAAAACATCGTCAACGTCATGAAGGCGTGTGATGTTCACCGTATGATCGAGACAATCAGACGTCACAAAATACAAACAACAAAAACCATTCGCACGCTTAAACACAAGCTTCAAGCAGGAAGAGTCATCAAACAAAACTTAGCAATAACGCTAACTGAAAAACCTCACTTCCTCAACTATGCAATTTCAGCTGAGTTGCTCAACAACGAAGATGAATTCGACAACAAAGGTATAAACATAATAGCAACACTGGAAGAAGAAATCAATGAAAGCATCGCAAAACTAAACAAAGTTGCAAGCAACCTTCCCGTTAAGTAGATATATTGTTCGCGTTTTTATGTCATAATTAAATAAAATGTTCCTTTCATTGTCCAATGTCTTTATTATATTCTACTAATGTCAGAACAAATGTTGTCACCCTACCTTACATTTAAGTCCTTATTATCTTACATTTAAAACATAATTTCTTAACAAAATAAAAACCATCTAAAATTAAATCGTTATCTGAAACACCGCCCATAACTCACATCATACATCATCATGATCTTGGAAAGTAATACTTGCATTAAACACCTAACAACCGTATTAAATACAAAGTTACATATTTAAAAAGCATCCAAGACCTTCGACATCCTCAAACACTACCATCCAGAAAACAGATACGCTTTCCAAAAGGAAAATGAAACCCCAGAAAATGCAAACGATCATCAACAACCTCATCAGTCACTATGAGGCAGAAAAGTTATCGCTGATCAACATGCAGGACGAAGCCTTTGAGCATCAAAACTACAAAAGGAGCTGCTTGAACACATGGACAACAAACCATCATTTGATAACTACCTCAAGATGCAGCAAATCTTACTTGACAACAACTATGACCCTGCAAAACTGATAGGGAGCATGCAGGAGATGAAAAAAAAATATGAAACTCTTATCGAAAACCTCAAAAAGGAGATCAAAAATCTCCCTGACGACAAGCATCCCTACCTTTAATATGTTTGTTCGTTTAATGGCTTTCAGTTTAAATTGTCTTTTGGTGTATGAAACTATCTTCCTTTGCCTTTCAGTTTAAATAGTCTTTTGGTGAATCAAACAATCTACCTTTTGTACTCCTTTGCATGTAAACAGTATGAAATAATACTATCTTGTGATACATTGTGCCTCTTGCTTTGATTATAACGTCCCAAAAATACTAGATACAATTTTTGTTTTTAAATAAACCAAAATATTCATTCATTACTTTCAAAGACAGTGATAGTATCAAAAGTGTTTCCAGTAACACTAGAGTAGTAACAAAATCATAAGTATGAAATCTCTTGTGGATGCGATGCAATTATGCCAGACTCTTCCCCTTGGAACCAGAAGTTCCTGGAATATTTAAACACAAAACCGTAAGCACAAAGTTTAGTGTGTTCAACAAAATACTAAATATCATACATAAGATAACGGGTATATTTCAACCCCAAGAAGATGTTATGGTCCAAATCATAGTCTTACTCCATGCCATGGGCCAAATCATGGTATTTACTTGTACTAGTTCCAGGGCCAGATCCTAGTCTTCCATATAATTATCAGGGGCCAAACCCTGGTCTTACATGAAAATTCTAGAGGCCAAACCATGGTCTTTCATACAAAAGCCAAGGGCTAAACCCTGGTCTTCCATGTAAGTGTCACAAAGACAACTACAATCCTACATAGTATAGTGAGAGAACTCACCTCACCACTCAAATATGATCAACCGCAACTTGAACTAATCAAGGAACCGATGCTGCAACCCACCTATCGAAATATTCAAGATTAGTCTTTAGACTAACCTCAACACTAGCCATTTGACCAAAAGTCAACCATGTCAAAAGTCAACTATCAAAGTGACCCCAGACGATCTTCAATCCTAATTTCTTAATGGTTGCACCAATTGTATGGACACCACAATAGGTCATACAAGACCATTTTCCAACCAACAACATGGTCTAGAAGCTATATAATGCACTTAAATGCTCTGGAGTTCACCCGAACTCCAAAAACAAGATGATTGGGACTAAATATCTCATAAAATGACCTAACACAAGATCTAAAGATACAATGAACAAGGTTGATACATTATATCTCCACAAGGTCAGAAATGAGATAATAATGCTAGATCCAAGCCAAAACCGCAATTTTTAGTTTTAGTTTTACATCAAAAATCCCCTTTTTTTATTATATTTTGTTAAATAACTAGTATATGCCTTACACAAAGAGGCATTGACCATTAGGCGGTGTCCTTGAGGATTTGACCCTGCTTCCCTTTGTTATCCTTTAGTGCAACCTGGCAGTGAAAAATATTATTTGCTTAAATCGTGCGCGATAGCGGTTTAACTGTAATCCAATGCTCCCGGAGCGCCATCAAAACTCTTGCTAAGCGCAAGAGACACAAAAGAATGGGTAGCCCCCAAATCAAATTTAACATGAGCAGTCACCCCATTGACTAAGAACATCCCTAAATATAAGCAAACAAAATATAAACATAAATAAATAAACAAGGAAAAATACAAGATGGATACATACCAGTCACAACATTTGGCCCTGCTCGGGCCTCCTCGGCTGTCAACTGAAAAGCTCGACTCTTCACCACTGGAGCATCTGCCTTTCTCTGGCGCCCATATGTGATCCTCAACGTAGTTGGAGCGGGTGCCGCCACCACCCCTCCTGATAATCTCGGACAATCGGTATTTTATGGCCCGTCTGATTGTAATGAAAGCAAATTAGACCCGATCTCTGAGGGCAATCCCAACTAACATGACTGTTCTTGTCGCACTTTTAGCAGCCCAAACCCATTGATCGACAAACTCCATCGTGCAGTTTACCGTACTTGCCAAAACGGCCCCGACCCTGTTGGCCTCTTTGTCGGGCCCTGAATTTCCTGAACCTGAACTGGCTTCCACTTCGCCTGCAGCTCCAACTCAATCTCCCTTTCCCGAGATCTATCAATCATATCCTCTAACGTCCTTCATCTCGATATGCTACCAACATATTATGATACCTCGTTTTATTCATCTCCTCATCCACGAAATATTGCAGAACCAACAAAGCTCTCTCCCTGAACTTGGTGGTGATTTCCGCCACAATCTCTATCATTAGGCGAAGGTCTTGAAACTCCTTTGCCACCTGTTGCACCTCGATAGCAGGTGCAAACTCCGCTCTGAATCTCGTAACAAAACCAGACCATGTCATGGCCTCCACGACCTCTGCTCCTAAGGCATGACCAACCTTCTCCCACCAGTTGCGAGCTCGATCCTTCAGAAGGCAAGATGAAAACCTCACCCTCGA